CCTTTGGGATCCCAACTCGGCTGGCCAGCAGGAATAGATCTCGGGCAATGTTCTTGGCATTTGCTGCACGAAGAGGAATGGCTTCCGGGTACCGGGTTGCATAGTCCAGGATGAGCTCATGTCCCCGGGCAGACTTCGGCAGCGGTCCCACCAGATCCATCCCGATCCGCTCGAAGGGCACATTGATGACGGGTAGTGGAATGAGCAGGCTGGGGGGAGGATGACAAGGAGACGTCTGCTGGCAGGTGGGGCAGCTACGGCAGAAGCGTTTCACTTCTGCCTCCAGTCCTGGCCAGTGGAAACGGTCCCTGATGCGTTGGATGGTATTTTCGGCCCCGAGGTGCCCCGCCATCGGATGGGCATGTGCCATCTCCATGACTGTCTCTGTCTTGGTTTTAGGCACGACCAAGAGGAATTCTTCCTCCCCTCACCTGTGGGTGACACAGTACAGCAGATCATTTCTTATTTCAAAATGAGGAAGGGGGTGTTGGCCCGGAAGCCTGTCTACCTCATCGGCTCAGCGCACTTGATCCCAACAGTTTCGCAGGCGGTCGTCCTCTCGTTGCTCCCTGCCGAACGAACCCCCAGTCGTGACCTGTGAAAACACATCGAGGTAGACAGACGGAAGGTTAGCTGGCTGACACTCACCCTCCCTCTCGCTGTCCGTCGCTAGGTCGGCCGGTCTCGGGCTGGGCGGTCCCCGACGGTTTTGCCGTGGCCCGTTCCGGGCGGTACGGCCTGGTGTCCTGGGGGCGAGGAGGAGCTTTTTGAACCCCCGGCCAGTCCCGTCCCAGGAGCAGAGGTACAGGGAGGTCTCGCATAATGCCCACCTCGATGGCCCAGGTCCCGGGCTGCGCTGAAATCCGAACCGTGCGGGCCGGCACATAGCGGGTGTCTCCATGCACACACGTCAGTGGCAGCTCTGACTTCTGTTCGGGCCTTGGTTTTACCAGGGTAGGTTGCACTAGGGTGACTGAACTGCTGGAATCCAACAAGGCCTGCATTGGTTTCCCCTCTAGCTTTACCATCTGGCTGGGGCCAGGGGAAGGTCTGTCCTGATGCAGGAAACACCCGGCAATCCAGGCTCGGGCCGTCGGTGCTGGGGGTTCAGTGGGCATTGGCTCATCAACGAATTCGGGGACCGGCGATCTGCTGACTGGTCGCGGTGCACCTTCGAGCGGACGCCGCTCCATCACACTGCGGGGCGCCAGGCCCGCTCTCTCCCCTGCCTCGCGGGCATTCGTCGCTTCAACAAGACTGTGGATGTCCTGTGGATTCTGCATACTGACCAGGCACCTCAGCGGACAGGGCAGTGCCCGTAACAGCCGATCGACGAGGACTTTCTCCGCTACCTGGTCAGCGGTAGGGGAACCGGAGAGAAGCCACAGGTGAACCAATCGGGCAAGTTGCGCAGCTTGAGCTCTCAACGTCTGCCGTTCATCATAGGTCCATTGGTAGAATTGCTGCGCTGCCCCCATGGGAGACAGGCCCACCCGGGCTAGAATTTCGGCTTTTAGCTCGTAATATTTTTCATTCCGAGGTGCCTGCAGGGCATAATAGGCCCGCTGAGCTTCTCCGGTGAGGAAGGGGGCAATGATGCGAGCCCACTCTTCCGGGACCCACCCCTCCCGGGCCACGATAACCTCAAAAGTATGGAGGGAAGCCTCGATGTCGTCGTGCTCGGTTAACCTGACGAGGTACTGGTGAGCCTTGATGGGCGATTCCGGGAGGGCCATGCGCCCCGCCACGCTGGCCTGCAGTTGTTCCACGACCCGGTCAGTAAACTCCTGTCATGCGGCCGGTCGCTCGGTAAACTGCTGCTGGCGGCGGATGACCTCTTCCATTTGTCCCTGGGGAAGAGAGCGGTTCTCCTAGAAGAAGCACAGAGATCGTTACAGCAACCTGGCGTTACAAGTCTGTGTCTCAATTCACCTCAATTGCCTGCATTCTCCACCATATGTCGCGGGGTGAATGAGAACACAGACTCGGTACTGATAGAAACTGCCCCGGAGGGTGATTTATTGCCCATACACTGATCACACGTGCTCAGAGGAATGGTGCTCGGTGCCAGTCTCCACTCGGGGCTCGTGGGGTGAAGTGCCGAGGTGCAGATCCCTGTCCTGGGGTGCCGTCGGAGTCTGTGGATAAGGAGAAACAAGCATTAATGTCGCCTGGAGCTCCGTTTCAACTCCCCTCTGGTGCCTCTTCTCCTGGCTTTTATGGTCAGCGGGAACGAGCTCCAGGTGCGCCACTCATCACGCACAGGTGTTGTGCTTCTGTGATCAGTGTGGAAGCAGCGTTTCCAGGGCGACGCTGATCTGGAACCGGGATACTCGCCACAGTATATATATATTTATGGTTTTTAGGTTATGTGGTTGCTAAGGTGTTCTAGGTGATTGCTAGGTGGTTTCTCTGATTTTTCTGGTTTCTACTGTAGAGACTGCTTGGTTTTATTGTCCACTAGATGTAGGCTAAGTCTCATCGATTATAAAAATGACAGCACGTTTTCTCAAATATAAGCTTTAACAATGATGATGATACAAATTTTAGACCTATTTTTGCTTTGCACATCCTTTTACATTTTTGGTCGATGTTCAAAAAGTGTCAGGCCTTGATTTCAGTGAGGGGCATTGTTTTACTTTGAAATTGTTGAAAATATGCCAGTTTAATCATTTAAATCTCTTTTTTTTCTGTTTAGATAAGTGTCTGTGTGCATTTCCTGTTTTTTAGTTGTATAAACTGTGGGCTAAAAGATGATACCTGAGGTGAAGATAGAAACCTGACCTGTAGAGCGTGACTGAAGACACCATTACTGGCACGTCCGCAAAACACACACTCCCACACACACACACACAATGAGCAAGCTATTAGAAAGCAGGGAAATCATATGTGGGGAAAACAGGCCTGAGGCGCATCCTATCTGCTTACCTAAACTGACAGATTACTCCTATAGCTCTGTGCGTTGTAGCTTACAGATGTAGCTTGGACAGCATGAGGTTTAATTTAACATGTTCAGCCTCATTATATCTGATGTGGTGTGAATTCAACTCTGACTCATAACCCGTCCTGTGCGTTTGTGCTGCAAACTGATGAATGATACCTCAAATTAGTCTGTTTGTTGAAGAAAGATGTTTTATTACTTTTCTAAGTGATCAAATTATGCTTTTTGCCTGGCAGACAATAAAAAAGCCCTTAGACTTACACTGAGGGAAGGACCTGGACCACTCGGAACATCCTACCATGTGGCAACAAGGCAAGAACTACTCACATTTTCTAAAATAAATAAATAAATAAATAAATAAATAAATAAAAAAATTTATTTATTACAAATGTATTATTATACATGTATATAAAATACTCAATTTAATTAAATAGAAAAAATTATATATTTGAAATATATAATTAAATTATTTCTTTTAATTTAATTTTTTTATGCGTTTGTTTAAGTACCTGTGTGTGTGTGTGTGTGTGTGTGTGTGTGTGTGTGTGTGTGTGTGTGTGTGTGTGTGTGTGTGTGTGTGTGTGTGAACATCTTCATAAGTATGTATATTAAAATACATAAAAAACATAAAATATAAACAAATCAAATAGAAATAATAATTACATATTTACATAAGATATTATTTATTTATTTTGAATTTATTGTTATATATTTGTGTTTGTCTATATACATACTGTACATATGTATTATTATCATTAAATGAATACAAATATATTCAAATTAAATAATATGATAATAATAAAATATTGTTGTTGTTTCCTTATTTTTAATTGATTTCATTTGATATATTTGTATGTATTTATTATTACTATTATTATTATTATTATTATTATTATTATTATTATATGCTGAAATGAACCAGAGATGAGCTTGGAAATATATTTAGAATTTTTTATGAGAGTATCTTGGCCAGCTGTTACCTGTTTGTATATTTTTCATAATTTTGTCTTTAGAACAATTTACTGACTTGATGACAAAAATGTAAAATTGTTCCAAATTACTGATTTTATTTTGTAAAGTTCACATACATAATGTTCACAAAACATAGTGCCAAAAAGCATTTGAGCATTTGATCACTTGAGCTTCACAAAAAATATTTAAATGTCATTGCTTTATATAATAAAATTTGCAAAGAAATCCAGCTAGAGTTTTCACAGAATTAAAATCACTTCTTCGAGCCATTTTTGCAATTACATTTTTGCAATAACTAGTCCCAAGGTGATTTTAAGGAATGTATGAAGTCAGTTCCCCTGAAGTTCACACAGGTGTAGTTCATCACATTAGATATGAACGTCATCCAGAGTTTCACAACCAGGAAGTGTCACTATACTGTTTGTCTTCATTTTGAACAGTATATATATAGTTTATAATCATAAACACACTATAAACAAATGCTTTGCTTGTACTGTCTTTTAAAAAATATCATTTGTTTTGAAATTTTGTTATATAATGCTATGACATTCAGAGATTTTAGGTGTGGCTTAAGTGTGCAAACACTTATAGGCCTATAACAATAGTAACAGTAACTACAGTAACTATGGATAAACACATATCAAAAGCAATCAATCATGGCTGTTTTTATGTGATTACAGTAAATTACCACTAATTATGTTAGTAATATTCCACTAAATGTTTTATTTTGTCTGGATTTTGTATTTTATAATACACATTTTCTACACTAATGCAAGTTTGAACATATTTTTACAGAAATCTCAAATAAATGTATGTAAAATAATAATAACAACTGTATTGACCGAACAACGCTGCAAGTGTACCAAAGTGCAGCCGAGTGAGGGTGCAATGCTGCTTTTCTCCAGTCCACCTTAAGAACGCCCCTGTATTTATGATTTCCTGAAAACTTTTCCAACCAATCACAAAGCGTCCAGCTTACCTGCCTAGCGCTCTGGCGCTTATTGGTTGGTCGACGCTCAGAACTCTCAGCCAGTCCGCTGCCTGCAAGCGCTGTTTGGAGCCACTAGAGAATGACAGGTCAAAAAAAACAAAAAAGGAAGGAAATTTTGCTCAGCTCACGCCATTGCCATTCGCCGTGGAGGATGAAAACTTTAGGAAACTTTTCGTCTTCATTTTAAGCTGCTTTCGGTCTAAAGAACCGAAAGAACTCTTGTTTGTGTATATGTGAGAGGATTTACCTGAATAACGCACACTTTCATCGACATTTGAAGGAAACCGAGGGGATTTTAGATGCTAGTAATATTTTAAACACTTCACAGAGACACCAGACAACCATGTCGGGGGGTATCGGTATATATGCGGTCAAGAAACGGAAGAAGCCCGTTCAGAAAATGTAAGTTTTTGTGGGAATTCTCACGTTCAAGTTCAAACCGCGCTCGCGCCTCGCGCAGCAAGGTTATTTATACAATGTAACAACATTTCGAACGGCTATGTAATATTTCACTCTAACATTCTGACAATAGAATGGAGCGCGTTTTATTCAGCAAATGGTACATAGTGTCATTTGCTGTGCAGAACGACAGAACGTGCTAAACTGTGTTTGAAGGTAACTGTATATTACTATGTATATATATATATATATATATATATATAGATAATTAATAAATTCACACTTTTTTGCTTAATTTGTTCTTTAGTATCAGGTTACCAATAAGTATATGCTGTTATTTTAATAGTTGCATATGTAAGAGCAAAACATAAAAATACATTTGTGTTTCCATTTCTATCGCACAACAAGTAGTATTGTTTGTTGTTATTTTTATTAAGGTATCCATTGTGCTACATTTTATGATTAATAACATTATTATTATTATTATTATGTCAAAATATTACAAAAGCAATATTGAAAATTGGTTCTGCATATCAATTTTCAGATGCAAACCTACAAATATTTTGTATATATTTATATATATTTTTTTATATTGCTCTTTTTAAAAATGGAAATCGGTCAATATAGCTATATACAATTAAATTCATTTTATTATTTTAATTAAAGTGTCTGGATTTTTATTGGTTTATTTAGATAGGTGCAGTACATTAAAGTGGTTACATGATGCTGCTAAAAAGAACATTATTTGGTGTATTTAGTGTAATGAAATGTGTTTATGCGGTTTAAGGTTAAAAAAACACATTATTTTCCACATACTGTACATTATTGTTTCTCCTCTATGCCCCGCCTTTCTGAAACGTGTTGATTTTTACAAAGCTAGATAATTAATAAATTCACACTTTTTTGCTTAATTTGTTCTTTAGTATCAGGTTACCAATAAGTATATGCTGTTATTTTAATAGTTGCATATGTAAGAGCAAAACATAAAAATACATTTGTGTTTCCATTTCTATCACACAACAAGTAGTAATATATTTGTTGTTATTTTTATTAAGGTATCCATTGTGCTACATTTTATGATTAATAACATTATTATTATTATTATTATAATGTCAACATATTACAAAAGCAATATTGAAAATTGGTTCTGCATATCAATTTTCAAATGCAAACCTACAAATATTTTGTATATATTTATATATATTTTTTTATATTGCTCTTTTTAAAAATGGAAATCGGTCAATATAGCTATATACAATTAAATTAATTGTATTATTTTAATTAAAGTGTCTGGATTTTTATTGGTTTATTTAGATAGGTGCAGTACATTAAAGTGGTTACATGATGCTGCTAAAAAGAACATTATTTGGTGTATTTAGTGTAATGAAATGTGTTTATTTTAGGTAGGCGTGGCTGACTCTTAACTTTTATAAAGAATATCTCTTTGGATTTTAGACTTTAGTCTTTGCAACTTTACAGATCTTCTTTATGCATCAAGAACTTTTAACACTCAAAAGAGAAAGGAAAAATTTAAAATAGCATCATATGACCCTTTTAAAAAAAACATGATTTCAACCAAAAAAAAAAAATGCATTATACATAGAGAATATAGCAAAGTCATTGGGGTCTTAGTATGTTGTGTTGAACCCTGTTTGCTTTCATTGTATGGACAAGAAAAGGTGAAACCTTTAAAAATCATTATTTAAATACAGATTTGCTTGAATAAAGATCAGCTGGTTTGCTTATTGCTCACATGACAGTCCCACCTCCAGTTGTGATGTAAGGCAGTTTGCACCCTGACAAAGCACCTTAGAAAAGGCATGTTTACTGCGTTGTGCCTTTGAGATGGATATTTCTGGCGCAGGAGCTCGGGTACATTGATACTAGGCTTTGATGTGTGCTGAAAGAAATGTGGGTCAGCACCAGTGCAGAGTGTCCCTCCCTCACAGACTAGAGTTGCAGCCTGTCCGTCACTTCAAATACCCACAAATCTTGTCTCGAGGAAGGTATGAGGAAAGCAGACACTTGATAATGATGCTGATGTGTCTCTGCTCGGTCAGATAAATTTTGCCGCAGTGACTCAAGTGTAGTAACAGAACTTGAATTTGTACCCGCTGACCTTAGGCCAGGTGGTATAGCTAGAAAAAGTTTTTTATTTTAACAAATATGTAATTATTAAAGAAACCATTTCAATTTGCAATTTAAAGAAATGTTTACTATTTGATTATATTTTACAATCTGTTAACGTTGAAATTATAGACACTTAAAATATTAACATTCACAATTGTGAAACACAGTATAGTATAATGACATGATCTTTAAGAAATGTACCGTAGTTGCCAAATATTATGAATAATTAATATATCTTGCAGCCCTAACTGACCTTCTAGGTCACAGTGTGATGCATTGAATGCATGCCATTGGAGCCAATTTTAGTTCTGTCCCCCCCGCTTGGGTTTTTGATCCAAACCAGATGTGGCTGAGCTTCAGCTGAGGTTATCGGGTGGAAAACAACCACTGTTGGCTGAATTCGCCCTTTTCTTTCTGATCTCAGAATTGTTTTCATGGAAAAAACTCAAAAGGAGTTTGGCAACTGGATCGGCACCAGACTGAGGTAAAACCACTACCATCAAAAGTTTTGACACGCTTGACTGACTTTTTCATGATCTTCAAAACCTTTTTAATAAATATATATATCGATTATTTCTGAATTTATTATTACTATTATTATTAATTTATTTGTGATCTAATTAGCCTATTTATGCATGCATGCATGCTGCTACATAATTCCCATGCTAAATTTCTGGTATATTATAAACACTATTATTATTCTGACGTGTATAATACAGTAATAGTCCTAATGAAGAATGAAAAGTTGGTCCAAACTTCTGACTGGTGTATCGACACTTTCCATACTGTAACAAGGATGTGGAAAACCGCGACAGAGATTTGCAGGAATGTACCATGGGATTTGTAGTAAGAATTTTCTCAAGCTAGATTGCCAAATGCTTTCAGATTGTTCTTTCTCGGTGTCCTCAGTAAACCTTTCAAGCAACGCAACACATGGAGACACAAAAAGCTGTTGTGCAACAGTGACTGCAGACGTTTTCAAACCGTCTTTCCAGTGGTAGAGTTTTCAGGACCTGTGCCAAATTTAAAAGGAAAGAGAGGGAAAAGAAAGAATCAGTTGTACAGTATGTATAGAAAAGAAGAAAAGGGAGAGCGAAAAACAGAGAAATGTGCATTAAAAGAATGCGACACAGCAAGAACAAAGAGATGAGTCTTCCGATGGTCCTCTGTGTATTCCAGGCAGCATGAGAAACCCTGTTGCATGTTGAGACCTGCAAGAGGAAAACAGTCATGATGTCATACCTCATGTGATTGTAACACTTGTACACTAAAGAACAGAAGAAATAATGAGAGATTTCAGATGTTCCCTCTGTAGTGATGTCTTCAATACAATAAAATCCTTTGCCAACCTCGGCAACCACAGCAAATGTTGGGAGGTTCACATGATCAGAACTCCGATCACTGGATCAGATGTACTGTAATTCAGGAGGAATGTCGAAGCTCTATTTCCCGCGATAGGACTTTCCAAACAAATAATCATGGACGATAGACCAATAGAACAAAGCCACCATGTTGGTAATTGCAAATATTGTGAAGCTGAAAACAATACAAATTTCAGTAGGAAGTTATGGTTAGTTGGTCTGTTAGTAATGCTATGTAGCTACGCACAAGAGACTTCATTGTGAGGCCGGGCTTTTAATACTATTTGACCATCATGACGGACCCACAAAGACCTGTATGACCTTGCTTCATAGTCTTCATGTGTTTTTCATTTTGTTAAATTGTTTAAAAAGAGTACTCAAGAATATATTTAATTGCTCTGGATATGTTTTCACTGGAATGAATGCAACATTTACTTTAATGTTTGGCAATGTTAGGCAATATCGCGTTCATAATCGCAGATTAATCGCATTCGATTATGAACGCGATATTGCCTAGCTTGGCAGTGAACTACGGCTCTGTGTATTAAATGCTGCTCCATCTGAAACCAGGTGATGGCGATTTACTACCAATCACGAAACCGGCTTTACTGACAAGATGCGCTTGACAATCGCATGCGATTAATTGCACAGCCCTATGTTATAGTAGATGTTTTTAAATATAAAAATTGCTATTTATGTACAAGGCAAATGTATGAATGTTGTTAGTATTATTAATATGTTTTATTTTGTTTTTTTTTTGTCTTGTATTTCCATACCAATATTTTTTTTTATTATTTTTTTATTCTTAGAAAAATGTAAATAACTTTTATATGGGCCTTTCAGGTCAAATGTACAAATTTTTATTTATTTTGTATACAGTAAATGTCAATATTTATAAAAATATTCTAATATTTTAGTATATTTTTTGTTTATTATATTTATATTAGTTTTCAAAACTTAAATATTTAATATGGGCTTTTAATTTGCAATAATATGTGTGAATTGTATAGATATAATGTAACTCCTTACAGCACAATTGACAGCCAAATTAAAACCAAAACATTCCAAATACATGATTGTCAATTTATATAAAAAATATGCATTTAAACATACTTTGTAATGTATTGTCCATGGACAGTTAGCCCTGAAAAATAACCATTTGGAGATACAAAAAAAAATAAAAAATCACCATCAAAGGCCGTTCAGATGAACGGAATCTCCTGAGAAATGAAATGGTAGGTGAATCAATGCTGCGCCAACAGTGATGCGCTCCTTCGTGTCATTTTAGAGATCTGGAGCTCAGGGCCGAAGGGGAAGGAAGGGGCTGAATACGCTCTTTTGTCCCCGCAGGCTCTTTTTTTCTGAGGTTAGTTATACTTTCTGGGAAAACATAATTAGTGTCCGGCTCAGATGACTAGAGTTACCGCTCTTAGTCTTCTGGGCTGGCAGGCAATGAAAAGGCAGTACAAGGTTGAGTTACAGTCATATTTTTGATGGCCGTGATTCCAGTAAGAGTCTTCTAGCTTAGATAATGGATTTTATGTCAGAGATAGGGATGTAACGGAATGAAAATTTCATATCACAATTATAGTGACCAAAGTTATCACGATTATCAATATTATCACGGTTTTGTTAAAATGATATTAAAATGTTCAAAAAGAACTGATACACACACTGAAAACATTTCAGTAAGTTTTATATTTGAAAATCAACAAACAACAAACACAATTAGCAGCTGTATGCACTTTTTATTGTTGTATAAACATTAAATTAACATTAACATGAAGCCCTAATAATAATAAAAATAGATCACACAGTTTTTGATTGTATTGAAAATGAAATCAGAGGAATTTAGTATTAATGCTACTATAATTTTGCTCTAGTGATCATATTGTCCTGACTATTGTTTTGTACACTGTTCATAATTAATTTATAAACAAGTAAGATTTTAAAACATTAATCTCAATTCAATATTTCATGTCCCCTTATTTATATATTATTATTATAGGTAAACAAAAAAAATTGGTGTAATAAGTTTTAACTATGAATATACAATACATTATCCCTTAAATGTCAACCTTAATAGTTCGAACGTTCGTTCATCTTGGCTCAAAAGCCACTTGCTGAGAACTTTCTTCATGGAAGCTTTGCGTTAATTATAAGTGAGATAACAAAATATTTAATCTTTAATCAATATTTTTTGTCCAATTATTTGCCCAGTTAGTTTTGGTATTGAGGTAAAAGTTACCTTGCATTCGCTATATAAAAGTGGGTGGTGGTCACGAAGATGACTGAGCAAATTTGAACTTTTGCAGCGACATTCTTCTTGCAAGATCGGCAGACAGGGTGACCGTCCTCGATTAAATTGCCTTCAGGACTCTTGTAAAAGCCAAAACACGCCCAGACCTCCGATTTGGTCCTCTTAGATGGCTGAAAAATCTCCCGAGCGCTGTCACTGCCTTCCGCCATTTCGTCTCGTGCAAAAAAACAACAACAACATTGCATGCTGCTTCTGCGTCAGACTGATGCTGGCTGGACAGGATTTACCGCGAGTTTTCAAAATCGCAATAATCAAACACGGGTTTGATGCTAATTATATTTTAAACGATAATACTACCCGTCAGGGGTATCATGATTTATCGTAAAACCGGTAATCGTTCCATCCCTAGTCAGAGAGCAGACAGTTGTTTTAGTACTTAAACAGTAAAACTCTGTTTTTTATATTTCTGATTTGGCATTTAAAACTCTTGGTGAGCATAAACATAAACTCTAAAATCAGCTCTAAAGTGTTGAAGGTTTTCTTGGCAGACGGCTTTGTTGCAGTGCTATTTTATGAATGAATATGAATTTAGAGAGCAGATTTGTTATGAAAACAGTAACTTATACAACTCTATGCAAGGCTGTCTACAGCGATGATAAACCGAGGTCTGATTAGCAAAAACTTTTCAGACATCTATGTACTGCTGCAAGCATGCAGGAGAAAAGCCCTCTTAAAGTTTCAATAATTCAGTTCAGAGCTTATAAATCTAAACTCTGTAACTTCCAAGCATCACATACCATGAAACCCCATCATTATTTAGTTTTTTTTTTTTTTTAGCATTCACAATAACTGAAAAAGTAAAACAACAAAATCCTGCAGATAATGCAATGCATCTGGTGAGTTTGTTTTTACAAACAGAAAAAGCCTGTTTTTTTTTTGGGGCATTTTTTACTCAATATTTTACATTTCAACAACCAGTGTACAAAAAAAGCCGATGTGAGCAAGACATTGTTCAGTTACCGAAATGACTGGCATCATTGTTTTACTTTAGTATCAACTCTGGATCAAAATACCGAGGTTGAATATCTAAGTTCAAATATCACACTGTCTCCAAGCTCTTGAGAATGCTCGAACCTCTATTTATACATATTTATAGGTTGTCTTTTAGCAAAACAATGATAAGCCAGTTCTGAATTGTTTTTAGCCTTTGTGTATTATACACAGACAATCATTCTTTGCAGTATCTCTTCTTCTTAAATTCTTCCTTGTGGACATTTTCCATTAAGGCCACCTGCATTCCATAAGATATTTAAATAACTAGACGCCTCAAGACTTACAAGCATTATGGCTAATCAAAGTCCGTAACAAGAAGTGTAACACAATTTTTTTAATCGATTTCTTCTTCCAGACCCAAACCACCACCACCTGATGGTGTGAAATCCAACCCCTCCAAGCGGCACAGAGACCGGCTGAACAGCGAATTGGACAAGCTGACCAACCTTCTACCCTTCTCAGAAGATATCCGTGCACGGCTGGACAAACTGTCGGTGCTTCGACTCAGTGTTGGTTACCTGAAGGTCAAGAGCTTCTTCAGTGGTGAGATCACAACTTATTTTTAGAGTTTCGGTTTTCATCTCGGTGATGACTTTTGCTGTTTTGTGCGTTTACAACATGGTCAGTTTTTCTTTTTCAGCCTTTGTCAAGTTCATATTTTTACATATTGTTGGGCCAGTATTATTTATGGTATTACTACATTAACTAACTGTAAGCAAGGAAGAGAGGACAGGAAATGATGTGGAGAAGGGGGAACAGGATCAGGAGATGTCACAAGTGGGATTGAAACTCGTGCTGCCACGTGCAAGTATCCCAGCTGAGTTAGAGTAACTGCTAAACTCCCAGTCAGAGTGCTAAACGGTCACTGATTAATCATTGCTTCCCAGTAAATTTGAGTTAAATTGATTAATTTCTCAAGTCGCTGTCGTCGTGATCATTTAAGTCCTTTCTACCAGAATGAAGGAACAGGGGAAGTGGCTTCTGTTACACTGCCACATATCACCCTTGATTAAATGACTGATGGTTTTGAAAATGCTTCTCAGAATTATGATATGATTCTTTATGATTCAGATTCTTATCTTTATTAATTTATGTAGCATCTCAAGTAAAGTTCTACTGAATTTGTTTGCACAGTTTACCATAAGGTCCATGTCACATGAATAATACGCTAGAAACTTGTGACCTCAGCTGACGTTTATTATCTCTAGAAAGTTGCAAGGGAGCTGAAAGATCACATGCTAGTCTGGTTTGGGGTCCTTAACTTACTTAACTTTCTTGAAATCATAAATTAGGCTTGGTTTTTCTTTCATTTTACTCTCTGCTGGCTAAAAGGTTTCGTAAATAACCCACATAGACATTCATGAGTTCAGGATCAGTTTCTCTGAGGGTTTCAGATCTTTAGCCAATAAATGCTTGTTTGTTTGTGTGTCTTTAAAAAAGGCTCAGAAAAACATGTCAACATGACCTTTCAAGGAGTGACGTAGGATCTTCTCATGGAATTAATCAAGTTTCTAAGAATAATATAGAGGGGAAACCTCTCAACGGAAGGTTCAATTAGCAGTTCCCAGAACAAAACCATCCATAATGCCTGTCTAAGAGATACTGGAGTTTTTATTTTACATAGAAATTCATATGTAGTATTGTTATGTTTGTCAGTGATGGATTCTGAATTGTAGTCAGGAATTTGAAGTGGTCTTGAAGACGAACCATGTAAAATGTCTTTTAAATTGAGTTTTAAATTTGTCTTATTAGACTTAATTTGTCTTGTTTTGCAGTAAAAATGTAAAATTATTTATCAATGTCTTTCACTGATGTTTAGAAATTTTAACTGAGAAAATAAGACAGTAGATTGAGAACAGGATATTCTCCAGAGGACAAAAAGCTGTTTTTCAGGTGTAGTCCGATTTGGTGAGATGTAGATATAAAGACTTCATAACAATTTAAAGGCTTAGCCACTTGTCAAATATAGATTTTGATTAGATTAGATTTTATTAGATTAGACTTCGCATACACAGGATGAAAATAGCCTTGAGGACATGGGTTGCTGTCCTTTGTTATCATTTATAGATGATTATAATATGACAAGACTTGGGCCTTGCCCTCATGTACTTATCCCACGTGTTTTTACATGACCTTTGCGTTAATATTTAACACAATATCTGGATATAGTATTATATTTTGCTACCATAATTACCGAAAGTGGTTTTTTTCTTGTGTAAATAATTACATACATTTTCTTTTGTAAATAATGGACAAATAATGTCCATTGTTTAAAAAGACTTTTACACATTGACCTTTCTTCTAGTCTTCTCTCAGATTTTCTTTATCTTTAACTCTGTTATCTTGCTTTTTGAACATGATAGTGGCAGCAAGCATGTGTCTTTTCTTGAACTACTTGCTGAGTAAGTGCGGCAGCTATGAAGAGTATGCAGAGAATTCCATTGTGAAAAGACAAAGGGCCTTATGGGAAATATTTTGGGAGTCATCTTGGCACCATCAGTGGGCAAGGAAGACAAACAGGCAAAGTTTGGTATAAAGAGTGCTGAATCAGACAACATTAAGTTCCTGGCACCATCCTGGACTCCACACCTTGTTCTGTCAGGCTGAGCCTGTCCGAACAAACACACAGACAGACAATTGGCAGGGAACCTGTCCAGTCTGGATGGACATTTGAGAGACTCACTAATAACCCAGTTTAGAGATGGGTAGAAATTATGTTTTTGCAGGACAGAAGGTCTTAGCCAGTGTCATCTCAAAAGTCTCTGACCTTTCATTATTTCACTGCCAGACTCAAACTTCCTTTTCCTCTGAGGAACTGTCCGTGCATTGTGTGGAAATTCATCAAGTCTTTCCCCTCTCCTCCACCACCCTTTTACATTTTTCGTTTGAAATTGGGCCTCCAAGCAAACAGACCACCAAAGGCTCGACAGAGCCCCAAATGTGCCAGCCTGCTGCCCCCAGCTAAGCTTCCTTTTATTGTTCTACTAAAATAGCAACAATTAGAAACAGGCATTTGGGGAGAGTAGAAGCGTAAGCGAGAACAAGACAGCACAGGAAAAGAGAGCTAAGCGTGAAGCAGACAGTCCAAAAGAAGACGGGTTATTTTTGACCTGCCCACAAGATTCACAGAGCACTTGTCGCTCTCGAAAGACTGAAAGACCAAAGAGATCAAATAAAACATATCTCTATGCATTTGTTTGTGTGCAACGTCGTTAGTAACCACATGTGTGAAGCAGAGAAATGAGGGCAACATGAGGCTCTACAAGCAGACGATGTTTGGTGTTGCTGCAGTGTATGCAGCATAAATAAACTGCGACAGACAGGAAACACAAGGTATTGTGGTAAGACATTGAGTCTGACACCCGAGTCATTTCACAGGTTCTTTTGAAAGAACGAGCAAGGAAGACGAGTGACAGACATGCTGACAGGAAAAAGGGGAGCATTGGGAGCATCTGGTAGACGGATCCAAACAGAGGTGCTAGACAAATGCCTATTTCCTTCATTGCCCCCACCCTATCTGTCTTTCCGGCATTGCTGTGTTGGTTTCAGCCTCATATCTATGTTGCTACTCTTTCAAAAAAATGTATATTGGACTGGGGACATTTACTTCACTTTCTATAAATAATTGCTGTAATATCAGGAAATAACATCATCCTCAATAGTGAGGCTTGAATTGGCCCAATCCAAGCTATTTTCAATCCCTCCCCAACAGTATTAATTGGATCAAGGCTGCGAGTACAGTAACTCCTTTATTAGCTTGTCTATTTTCGTCACTAGCTATGAAACGCAGAGAGAGGCGTTCCCAGGGCTACGGATTCCTCTGTGTCTGAATTCTAGCAGGTCAGAGACTGTCTTTGCAGAGAATGGATCCTCTGTTGGTGTCCTCCCATCATCCAAGGCTGGAGATGGAAGGACCTAGAAGGTTGGACTGAGAAAAACCACAAGATTCGGTCCCACAGTGAGATGCACAAATGGGACATTGTGTTAACTGTGTTCCCAGCATGCACTGGGGCCAGGGCATCATTGTGTATTGATGAGGGTCAGGTCTGGAGGAGTCGTTGCATAGAATGGTCCTTGTCTGAAGTGTAATGTGGTGTGTCATTGGTCTAGCTCGGCTTTGACCTTAAGGATGAATCGGTTGGCTTCAAAACTACTTTTGCGGCGCCCAGAGTATGATGGAAAGAGACACAGGCAGAAAAATTCCAGGAAAGAAAGGTTCATTGTTCTTTACTTTCTTGCTCTTCATCTTTGCCCTTTCAACGTTTAAATAAGTTTCTATGCCTCTACCCTGTTCAAAGCTTTTAGCCTCCTCCTTGTTCTTGCTGCAAATTTCCATCGCGCTCTCTCTCCTTCTGTTTTTCTGAACTGCATTTTCTGCATCTTATCTTAGTAGAGATCGCCACGTTCCTGACGGTAAATAGATGGAAGGTTGAGGGTGGTAGGGCTGAGGGAGGGAAGGGTTGGTGCTCAGAGCCCTGAGGCGTTCCGACACGCTATGGGGGCACTGCAGGTAGTGGAGTCCTCCAGACCACTTGAGGTCTCTCTCATAAATTATGCTTTAAAAGCAGTAGTAACTCACCTTATTCTTTTTCCCATACTCGTTGGTCTGATTTTGACCATTTTGGGTGGAAGCTTTGGTGGCTTTGTCTATCAGCTTTTCTTCTTCCTTTTCATTCCTTCGGATAAGACGTTAAACCGAGGTCTTGACTCTCTGTGGTCATTAAAAATCCCATGGCATTCTCGTAAAGAGTAGGGGTGTAACCCCGGCTCCTGGCCAAATTGCTGCCACTGGCCTCTGACCATCATGGCCTCCTAATAATCCCCATCCACTTGATTGGCTCTATCTCTCTCTCTCTCTCCTCTCCACCTGTAGCTGGTGTGGGGTGAGTGCACTGGCGCTGTTGTACTGTGGCTGGCGTCGCATTATCCAGTTGAATGCTGCACACTGGTGGTGGTTGAGGAGAGATCCCCCACATGATTGTAAAGCACTTTGGGTGTACAGCAATACACAATAAAGTGCTATATAAATGCATCATTCATTCATTCATTCATGTGTACAGTGTCTAGAACAGTGGTTCTCAAACCTGTCCTGGAGGACCCCTAGCCCTGCATATTTTGTATGTTTCCCTTATCTAACACACCTGATTCAACTCATCAGCCCGTTAGTAGAGACTGCAAGACATAAATTGGGTCAGAGTTCAGAAGTGCTAATAAGTCAGACTTCTTTTCCTTGATGTCAAGGCACTCTGTACCTCATTATTCCTCAACCCAAACTTGATTGGCCAATTAAGGGCTTTCTGTGGGATAAGCAGCTGCATCCTTTTGGTAATGGGGCAGTTTTTGGTTAATGTTGAACATGAACACCATCTTTTGCAATGCCATGCTAGTTCGTATTTAAACTTGCATGAGGAAAGATGGTACTTACCCTGTTTTATCAGACAAACATCAAGAAATATCTAATGTTTTACAAGTTGAGGTCAGATTGTTGTTGCAGTAAAAAGTGTTAACACTCTTTCTTTAACCTTCAACTGCTTGAGTAGGTT